TTGTGATCATTCTCCTGTGATTTTAACCACCGGAAACATTGCCGGAAGGACCATATATGGGAGAAAATATAATAGTCATATATCAAAAGTAGGGGTGGAGCCGGATCGGTCTGGTCCCGTTCTGGGCCGGGTCCCGGCCGGTCCCGGTTCTTAATATTTGAAGCTCGGTACCGACCCGGAATGCTCCAGTATAGGCCCCAAGCCGGGTACTCGGCCGGACCTCAGTGTTTTTTTTTTTTAATTTATTAAACAAGTGGTAGGCATTAAAAAGAAATTTATATTTATTCGAAATATGCGGTAAAATTGACTTCGGTGTTATGAAGTTGTAGTCTCCATGTAACGTCTGACGGGATTTTCACTATGCGTCATTCGAAAAGAGACGCTCTGTGCTTTAGTACATATGTAAGGTTGCGTACATCTGATCCCCCTTACACCACCTTTTGTGGGAGGTTTTGCGGGTACCAGGGTAATGATGATGATGATGATGATGAAGTACAATTGAGGATTGAGAATAATTTAAAACATTAAATACATGTACTAATAGTTGGAATCTCCGCGAGCATCGGTTGTTGTTTCCTCCATGAAGTGGCGGTCAGGGGCGATGCAAAGTTCTTGAGTTCTACGTTGGGCTTTCAACCAGTCATGGAAGAAAATGAGTGTCTCTAGAGATTGTGCGCTTAATCTCAATCTATAATCCGTTTGGACGTTGCCGGCTTCGCTAAATTCTTGTTCAATAACTACTTTTGACACCAACATTGGCAGCACTTGTTTCGCCATCTTCAATAAAATCGGAAACATTCCTTCTTTCTCCTTCTACTATTTGAGAACGTCAAAGTCTTCCTCTTCTTCATACTCACAAGGAAACGTTAGATGTAAAGAAAGCTCGTTAATCAAGCTTTGTGCAACCGCGGGAGTTGATTTAGTTTTTTTCATAAGATTACCAAATGAAAGTGCTTCATGCACATTATGTTGCGTTATAAAAAAGTTTGAGTTGCGTTATAAAAAAATACCAAAACGTTGCAAATTTTTTCAATAGTGTCGATCTCAAATGAATCTATAATATAGTTAGAAGTTTCTTTTAAAAAAGCCAGAAAATGATATTTAAATCTAAGAAGCACAGAGATTAAGTTATAAGTATTATTCCAGCGAATAGACAAATATTTAGGAAAAGCACGATATCTAACACGTCTGACTCTCAAATATTCACGTCATTGATTTCTAAGTCGAGTATTAGCCCAGATAAGTCCAATACCCCCCTTCACGTTCTCCATCTCGGTTCCTAACGCGGTTAAATACTTTGCCTGATAACTAAATTAAATACACAAATACAAAGATAAATAATACAATTAGACACAATAAAATTCTTACTAACAGTGGCTCTGATACCAGATGTTAGGTCCCTGTTTTACATATATGAGTATGGATGCGCTCAAAAAATGTAGAAACTATTAAATTGTATTACTAGAGAAAGTTTCAAAATGATATTCAATAATGAGCGTAAAAAAATTTCTACTCTCTCCCACAGAATGATGTATGCGCATGGATTATTATGGAGAGGCGTGTGATGGATTCTTTTTTAGGCAATATACATGCCTACGGAATGGGTCAATCACAGTCAGGTATGAGTGAGCTCTTCAATAAAGGGGCCCAAATTCACACTTTACAAAGTTTTCCTAAAATGGCTAATCTAATGATACTATATTAAATACATACAAGAGACGGTTCATAATACAGATCACAATAATCAAAACCATGACCACCTCCTATAGAGTTCCTCTGGATAACGAAACATAATGCACTCTATTCCTTGGGTTTTCTAGGGAAGGATGGGTGCATAGTATTGCAAAAGTCATAGGAGGATGGTTCAAGAAGGTGTATGTCGTGTGGATCCAGATATAATTACATAAGCGGCTTTGATGGAGGTATAAAGCAAAAACCGAAAGCTGAACATTGCATTACAACTTCTACCAACCATGATTTTAATGAACGCATATTGCGAGTGGGGTATCCCAATTGGGGCATGCAACTATTTAGATATTTAGAAAGTCAAGGTTTAAAACCCACTTATTTTACCTATGACTTTGTATTGAAGTGTTTGCATTTTGCTTTGATAAGGACACCTTTATTATCTTTTATCTTGTCAAAGTATTCCCATATTATGGATCTGGACTCTACCTCCTTTCTCTTTTTTCCAGAAACAGTCAAACAGGCACATCAACAACAGGTGTCTGCTGAGTGCTGGTGTTAGGCCCAGCATCATGAGCTTCCACCATAGGTTCTTGAGAAATAGGAGTCAAAGGAGGTTGAGAACTAGATGCAGGTATGGTATCAATACATTGGCCTTCCATTCTGATAATGATAGACAATTCAAATACCTCAATGCAGACATGCAGTCAACACATTGAACAATGAACACATAAATGACATTATCACATATTGACAATCACAAATACTTGTACATAGCACAGTAAAGTCTGGAACAATCAACAATGTGATATACAGAAGGATATAAGCATTATGTTTATTCTCTTCTCTACAGACTTAGAAGATACCAGTTCACTCTAACTACTCGTTTGAGTGTTTGAGTACAAAAAGGTAACTTCAACACTTGTGAGCCAGAATATGTGAAATATGAATCATCAAATCATCATGTTTACTCAGAAAATTATATTCAGCCATCATCTCATTCTGTCATTCAGTACTCAGTAGTTCAAAATACATATCACATATGTATCAAGGCATGAAGCTCACATTTAAGTATTTAACATGCATGACAGATGCATCACATGTTACAAATCCACAGACCACAGTGAAATAGGTATCAAAAAAAGTCAAAACGAGGTATCACCATCTCACTTATGCATCACAAATTACAAAGCCATAGTCAAGTAGGCACACAGAGGTATCATTGAGGCAATGAGGCTAACATTTAACAAATCCATTGTAAATACCAAATAGGCTTCCACAATTCATGAATGAGTGAGTCACAATTACACAAGTAATACATATCAACATAGCACAAATACTTGTACATAGCACAGTAAAGTCTGGAACAATCAACAATGTGATTTACAGAAGGATATAAGCATTATGCTTATTCTCTTCTCTACATACTTAGAAGATACCAGTTCACTCTAACTACTCGTTTGAGTGTTTGAGTACAAAAAGGTAACTTCAACACTTGTGAGCCAGAATATGTGAAATATGAATCATCAAATCATCATGTTTACTCAGAAAATTATATTCAGCCATCATCTCATTCTGTCATTCAGTACTCAGTAGTTCAAAATACTTATCACATATGTATCAAGGCATGAAGCTCACATTTAAGTATTTAACATGCATGACAGATGCATCACATGTTACAAATCCACAGAACACAGTGAAATAGGTATCAAAAAAGTCAAAACGAGGTAGCACCATCTCACTTATGCATCACAAATTACAAAGCCATAGTCAAGTAGGCACACAGAGGTATCATTGAGGCAATGAGGCTAACATTTAACAAATCCATTGTAAATACCAAATATGCTTTCACAATTCATGAATGAGTGAGTCACAATTACACAAGTAATACATATCAAAAGACAAGAACAGTATAACACATCATATCTAAGGTTTGAGCTTCCAGGCTTCCACCATAGTATAATACCACTTATACCACCATAATAATTTATAAAATCAAACTTTTATACGTCACAACAGACTCGTAGACTCGTAGTGTCGCAGGCTTCCACCGTTCCACTGTTCTAAGCTTCAGCCGTTGTTAAGCTTCCACCATTGTTAAGCTTCCACCAGTCCAAACTACAGGAACAACAAGCCAGAGAGGAAAGGCAGAGAGTCAGAGACAAGCCAGATAATGAACTATCAGTGCCGGACTCCCGAAGGGTGAATGAGAGAGATCGGATTGACGAGAGATTAGAGAGAAGGGATCTGCGATGAAGGTATTGAAGAGAGAAGGGGTCTGCGATGAAGAGGATTAGGGTTACAGTAGTGCTGGACTCGGGCCGGGCGGCCCGGCCCGGAACCGGCCCGGCCCGGTTACTGTTAGGCCCGGCCCGGCCCGGGGCCCGGTGGGTCCACCGGTTCGGTTCGGCCCGGCCCGGCTGCTGGGCGGTTCGGGCCCGGGCCCAGGTTTTGGTGAACCGGCCCGGCCGGTTCGGGCCCGGTCCGGGCCGGATTTTAATTTTTTTTTTTTTTTTTTGAAATTTTTTAAAGTTTTAGGTTGGATTAGGTATTTTGGGCCATTTGAGGTGGTTTGGGATGGTTTGGGGTTGAGGGGGAGGGGTAGGGGATTAAATAGGAGACCAAAAAAAAAAAAAAATTAAGTGGGCCGGTTCGGCCCGGCCCGGCCCGGCCCGGTTTGGCCCGGAACCGGAACCGGAACCGCCCACCGGCGGTTCGGGCCCGGGCCCTAGTTTTCTGGCCCGAGGCCCGGCCGGGCCCAGGCCCGAACCGGGCCCGAACCGGCCCGAGTCCAGCCATAGGTTACAGAGTGGGTTACCTCTAAATAACTAGTATATACACTAGTTGGAGTTTCGGGTTTTTCGGGCGGGTCGGGTAGCGAATTTTAAACCCTACCCGCGACCCTGAAACCCCAAGGAAAACGGGTTCGGTTTGGATTTTCGGGTTCAGGTCACCCGACCCGGTGGGCGTAGTAAGGGTATATCCGAACGGGTTTTCGGGTCAGTTCGGGTTATGCTCTCCCCTATGCATGACAGACTACAACTCCATGCCAATTCTCAAGATGTTTTTGCCCCGGTTTGTAGTCTGTTCTTAATTTGGAAGAACTAGAATTGGATCAGTTCTATTCCGGAACCGGAAAAGTAGTTCGATCTCAGTTTGGGTTTGGACTTTGGACCCTAGCTCATGCAACAGCATATATCAACTTAGGATACATTACAAAATGACAGTTGCAAACTTGCAAATTGCAATACTATATTTTGACCAAAACAGATCCAGGTTAGGAGACCCGCTACTGAGGCGGACTCTGTCCTTTTGGCAGGTGTTATCACACAATCTAATGAATCTATTGAAGATTGGCTGTCAAGCTGACGGTTAACTGGGATAAGGAACATTAATAGGGATTCTATTGCGTATTTGGGGTATTTAATTCATGGAAATTGAAAAACTGAGAAAAAGAAATACATGGAGCCAGAGCATCCATGTCATGAAAATGGTAAAACTCTCCACCAAATAGTAGCTGGCAGTTGGTCTAGCCATACATTATATTAAAGCAGATAACTCTCTAAGCTTAAACAATGTGTTTTTTTTCAACTCTACACTACACTTCACAAGATCGCATAAATGAACTGGAGCAGAATGTTGAGAGGTGTGGCAGTGTAGGGAGGCTGATTAGAGAAGCTCTTTTGCCAGTACCACTGGTTTGTCATTCAAATATGCTATATCACTATTTGGAGCATTTAGCAGATGATGGTCAATCTCCTCCCCATCACTAACCTCAGTTAAAGAAGATGCACCCGTATCGGTATCCTCATCTGCATAAGTGACCATAATATTAGCATAAATAAAACTTCTTTATTCCTTCAACAAGTGATTATTAAAAAAGTTGTGTACTCCACACCACAGGAAGGTGAGGACATGAGTCTTATAGAATAATAAAAGGGAAACTTGCATAAAATATATAAGTGGTGGGACAATAAAATCTCAGTTTTCCTCCACAAGAATGTGACAAGGAAAAGACCTTTCAAAATGCTAAAATGACATTTGAGGTATTTGGCTTTAGGATCACAGAAGCGTTATCCTGAAGACTTTAAACATAGCCCCATAGGTATAACATTTTTATGTCGAAACAAAGAGCGGGATCTTAAAAGTCAAATGCAGTTTATGTCAAATTCCTCAAAAGACAAGCGACAAGCGGTTTAAGTCAATCGCCCCACATAATCTTAGAAATAAGTTTAATGAAAATTAGCTAGAGCCTAGTACTCTTACAGAACAGTTTGGGGCAGATGAAATATGTAGGCACATAAGTGACTATTCATACCATGTAAAAGCTTGTATCTTGAATGTGTTGACTAAAAATAAACATGTAACTTACTCAATGACGACTCTTTTTGGGGATGGAGGGAATCATGCTTCATCGAATTCATGTAGCTTGCTCAAGAATGTGAAAATCATATAAATTGATTTCTTAGATACATAGCTTAGTGACACGCATAACAACAAGTTTAGTTGCATGATAAAATTAAGATTAATAAAAATAATCAAATATTTAAGTCATATTTTTAACGGTGGATGAACAAAGAGACCTCAAAAGCAATAAATTTAGATGGATCAAGGTTTCTTTCAAAATAACTATTTTGTGTAAGAGGATCCTAAATCTTTTGATAAAAAAGTGAGTCTTGCTGAGATAAATTATGTAAAAGTAGCCAAATTTTGCATGTACAATCTGCAAGATTAATATTGCCAAAATTTGCATGTAAAATGCCCACCAGTGCATGATATTAGAAGCGTAAGTCTTATAAAGCCTCAACTCTCAAAATATAAGCCTCAAGAGCTTTTGAAAATTTTCTGCTTATAAACAAATAGTTTTAACACAGCTATCTTCAAAAGAAATAAGTCGTAAGATGGTAAATGTTTTTAACTCAAATTCATACAACAATATTTGTGATAGAAACCAACCTGAGCATACTGCTTGGCCATCAGGAGGATGCCTGACAGCTGTAACCTGAATATTTTCTGGTAACAGACAATTGCAGAATGAGCCTGAAACATCAATAATCAACAATGTGAGATATACGCAACACAGAATTGAAGACATTTATATGAATATCCTATCCGCAAAGGTGCCATTTAAACATTTATCACAACTCAAGTAGGCACGAATTGGAAATCCCTCTTATCTAAAAGTGGCAAAAGGGCACTTTATATTTTACATGACTGGACAGAGTTCTTATTTGCATTTTCAGAAGCGTTGAGAATTACTTAACATTTGACCTAAATTCGGGGAGTTAGATGTAAATAGCGAAAAAAAAGTTTCTTAAAGAAAGCAAGGGAATATATATTTCCTTCTTACCAACACGTGCCAGACGATTGACCCATCCAGGAATTGGCTTTCCGGTAAGATGCATACATACTTCATCAGTAAAATGGTTGCAATTCTTGGCAATTAAATGATAAGAATCTCCATGATATTTGCTAGATAGTTGTACCATGAATGAATGAACTTCTGAAGGAGACTTGTCTGTACTGCCAAGCAGTATTGAACGCCTAAAGATGAAACCTGGGCAACAACGTGGTTCAACCTCAAAAACCCCACTGCTTGGGTAATCATGGGCTCCATATCCATATTCCAGACCATGTACTGTATCATATAGAGAGCATAATATCACAGTTGTACTATATCAATATAGAGAGCATCAATATCAATATTGGATGTTATAGAACATGTAAAAGTCTTTAAGAACATAGAATAACACATGTAGGGTTTTCAGAGAAATAAAACAATCTTTTTATGAAAAACTCAAAAAAAATATTTTCATCTTACAGATGAGAGATTGGTGTTATAAATGCCTCTACTGAGGCAGTAGATGGGAGCAGCACGCATGACAGAATCTCATGTGGCTTGGGCTTGCAACGGAAGCACAATGCTGTCCAGAGAACACCGCTGACAGACTTGTTTTGGGATTGTCCTGATATTACTTTATTTCAGCCTTCGTAGGTCTTGAATTACTTAATTTCAGCATTTACTTCCTTTGTATTTGTACTCCTGTAATAGCAATATAAGGGCCCTATGTTCTACTTAATGAAGTACTTTTGGGAGAATTAATTTTTGAGCGCCTTGACTAGGCTGCACATCACATCAATTGCACTATACAAATATTTGCTTCAGTAATCATTTCGCTCGTACTTCTTCTATTCTGCTAGTTTAATATCGAACATGATTGAGACCTTGGCCACTGGCACTTAACAGATTGAGATGTTATATGTAAACATGTGTTTTGGACACCAAATGACTAGGGAAATATTATTCTCTATGGATGTTCTAGACATCTAGATCAATGTGGTGGGGAGGATTTGTATGCTGGTTGCTAAAGCAAATGGCATCACTGTCAAACACGACTGGTTAATTCAGCTTCACACGCAGATTTTAAGAAGTAGTGCTGATTTTGATAGATCTTGGATTAATATGTATTTATTTATTTTATTTTCTTGGACAAGAAACAGTTTATAGACTATAATTATATACTTATTTACACAGAAGTCTGACTGAACCCTTCGAAATGCCGATGAAGCCAAAGTCTTGTGTTACTAGAACACCCCACCCACAAAACAAGATTTTACAATATCTTACTGAAGTATTCAAAGCAGCATACTGCATAGACATGTAACAAACAATACCTATGATGATAGTGATTATGATTTAAGACATATAGTCACACATCAACTTTGCATAAATACAAAGGAAACCTGAGGAATTATGTTGAATAGAATAATTGGAAATTTGGAACATAAAATCCTTAAATAGATTGAAGTCACCAAACAAATTGATACAAAAAATATATTATCCCCAGTGGTATATAATGAATCTCGGATTTGTATCTTGATGTTGTGAAAAGTTAATCTTCAACCATACCCACATCTCAGAAAGATTTTTCTTCATTTCATGCCTTGGTTGGAAGAAGTGATAGCTTATACAAATGAACTGTAACCCACTCTCCAAAATCACAAAAAAGGGGGGGGAAATATTAATTAACAGCAAAAAAGATGAAAGAGGATACTTGCATACCTTCAATGCCGGAATGAAATATTCCAACACCGAACCAGTAAAGGTAGTTGTTTACAGTTGTTAGATCATAGACATTTAGGTACAACAAAGCACGACTCTTCTCTCCATCGCTCTTCAGCTCCTTCAACGAACTGGAGCTAGCTGGAAATAATCGCATCCTATAAAGGACTGTCTGTATTTATACAATCTCCAAGCTCGATACCCGCGAAGTTCGAATTGAATTGAGTAATCTCTAAAGCAATAAGCTGCACAACCAAATATCCAAAAAGATAAATTCTTTAAGAAAACGAAAAGATATATTTGGAGTACATCTTCACCAGTTCCCTAATTGCTATAATCGGTTCGAAAAATCGCATTTTTCATTTACGTGGTGTAAGAATTGAGCAGGAAAATGTAAGAATCGAGCTGCTAGGTTAATGGAAATTCGATTACTTAGCTCAATCTTTTAATGATGTAAGAAATAGAAAAGATAGCAGAAGAAATGAGATTACAGACATTCAGGATGCGAATATCCTAGAGGGGATATCGAGAGAAAGGAGAAGCGCCGCCGGGTCGGAGGATCTCGGAGGCGCGATGGATGTCCACGGCGTTGGTTTGTTGCTAAGAGGAAGTAAAGCCAGATGCTTTTATATTTGCTGGGGCCGCTTCCATCGTCAATGTCTCCATGCCCCTGGATCTTTTCTTGTAAGTAAATTAAATTTTGGCATCTATTTTTAAGGGCTAAATTAAATTTTTCATGTTTCTTTTATCATGCTTTAGAATTATGTTCTAATTTCATAAGATTTATGTGATAAAAAGTGTACTCATTGTATATCATTTTTAAGAGTAATTATATTCACAATACTCAAATTACTTGGGCTTATTACGCAACACAAATCCAACGTTTAGAGATATTGACCAAATTAGTCTATCGTATACATATTTACCTAAAAGAAATCATTGTTTAAATACTAAGACAAAATTATGTTCCGTCTCATTTCATTCATAATTATTTAAAAACATACATTGTTTTGAAGCATAATTATCCCATACCCATGCTACTTTGGCTTCTAACGATTGTTAATGCTTCGATATATTCTCATCATTGTGGATGTAGTATATACTTGTACACACTAGTGGAATAACTGTAAAGGGGCACTTCTTTTTTAGCCACAAGCGCCTCTAATATTGACAATTTTTTTCTTTTTTTTTGTTGATTTGTTCACAATGCGTGCGGAACTTTTAAAGTATAAACGCCTCTAAGTAACTTTATTTTGAAGTATCGGACCACTTTTATACGGTACTTGGGTTAATGAAGCGCCTCTGAGTTTTTTTAACAATATAATTTATATAAAGCACACGCACCTAGTTTCAGCGTTAACACCTGGCCGCCGCATCCTCAAAACCTAGATCTATTTTCCATATCATCCAAGAGATGAGAATACTTTCAGAGAAGGAGGTTAGATTTAAAGTGTCATGCCACCCTCTTCGTCCATTCTACTGCTATTTTATGTCCTCTTGCTTGAAGAGGAGGTTAGATTTAAAGTGTCATGCCACCCTCTTCGTCCATTCTACTGCTATTTTATGTCCTCTTGCTTGAACAACTTGTCATCAACTCCCATCTGTTAATTTTATAGGTAAATTCTTTTTATCATCTATTGCTTAATTATTTTTTGATTTCTATTAGTATCTTTACTTGATCTGAACAGGATGAAGAATAGACCATAGCACCATACAAAGAAGTGAAAAAGTGAGCGCTGACATGAAGAGCTTCGTCGATAATGCCGTGTACAACATAGTCTGCGCCACCGACTCCCCGACACTGGCACTGCCCACCGCCTACAATTGTCTGCAGTCCGCTCACGCCCACCACCGCTACTGCAACACCGTTGTTGAGATTTTATCTCGTAGATCCGAAATCTCAACACACGCTTTGGATATTTAAGGACGTTTGGTTCGATATAAAGGTGTATAAAATATAAAACAATGAATATGGACTCGACTCAGAAGCTAATCATATTAAGTAATTCGGTGATTACAATTAAACTGCCTGAATGGTATGTCGGTACGAGTTTTAATACAATACAAGAGATATGATTCTATTACTAAGCTCTGAGTATGAAAATGCTAACCCAGGTATTTATACTAGAGAGGGGATGGGGGAGATGGACGTGTGGCTGAACCCGGTAGGCTGTAACCTCTGCCACGAATGCACCCATGCCCCCACTTGCCACTGCCATGCTTTGGCATTAAATGCGGCTTCCACTTGCAGGCCACCCATTCAGGTAGCACATTTGGTGTGCGGGCCCCCTTTGAGGGTGTTTTGATGTCAGTACTCCGTTGATAGTCTCAAGTGGACAAATTCACCTGAATGCCGTTCATGTATCACCCGTTCAGGACGTCTTGAACCTTCCTGCTTCCGTTGGGCCTCCTGTTTCTCCTGGGCCTTCTTTATGCTTTGGGCCGGGTGTATTGGGCTTGGGCCTAATACCCCAATAACCGTAATATATGGCACCGCCGTTTTATTAAATTAGATCTGTTTATTTTTTAACGGTGAAGTCAGATTGTTTTTGTTAGGGTGAAGTTAGATTTGTTAGAATTAGTTTTTGTATTTTGTGATATTGTCGTAAATTGCAGTGCAATTTTTTAATAATTGTATACCTATAGTGGATATTGGTAGATACATATAATATGATGTACATCATATATATAACAGAGAATAGGGTTGGTTTTCTGAGCAGTTTTGGAAGAGTAGATGTTATAGAGTTTTCTTAAGAAAATAAATAAAATCAATAGTGACACGTTGACAAATTGAAAAAATCAATAATGCTTCTAAATGATGATTGTTTTTAAGTAACTATGAATAAAATAAGATGGATCATGTCTTGAGTATTTAAACGATGGCTTCTTTAGATAAATAGATATACGATAGACTATTTTGGTCAATAATCTCAAACGTTGGATTTGTTTTGTGTAATAAGTCAATTACTTAATTCCTATCAGCAATCATTAAATTAAAATTTAATAAATAAAAATAATTCTAATATGTAAAGGGGTATTCCCAATCTGGATTTTAATGAATTTTAAAAGATTTTACAATTCCACCACAAACTAAGTGTTTTCAATTTGGAGTTTAATGGATTCCATTGAAATATAAGGGCCTGTTTACTAACAGAGATATTTTCCTGTTTTCTACTTCTGTTTTTCGTTCTCCAATTTTCTGTTTTTATTTTTCAGTTTTTCTATCTCCAATTTTCTTTTTCTATTTTTTAGTTTTCCATTTTCAAATATGAAAACATGTTCATCAATTTTTTCACACAGTTCTCCAATTCCACACCCTTGACCCCTACCTCTACCCTTACCACGATCTTACACTCTACCCATACTCCACCACAACCCTTCATACCCACCCATACCTACTCGTAGGGGTCGGGTAGGGAAGTTATGGGTGGGGTGGGGTAAGGGGTATGGTCGGGGTGGGGTGGTAAGGTGTAGGGGTAGGGGGTTGGGTGGGGGTAGTGGGTGGGTTAGGGTTAAGGGTGGGGTAATGGGTAGGGTTGGGGTAGGGTAGGGAGTTGGGATAGGATGACGGTAGGGTGGGGTCGGGACCAGGGTGGGGCCGGGGTAGGGAAGGGGTATGGTGGGGGGGTAGGATGGCGATAAGGGTGAGGGTAGTGGGTAAGGTTTGGGGTTGGGGCAAGGTAGGGGTAGGGAGTTGGGATAGGATGGCGGTAGGGTGGGCCCGGGATCCGGGTGGGGCCGAGGTAGGGTAGGTGGGGGTGGGGGTAGGATGGCGGTAACGGGGGTGGGGGTAGGATGGCGGTGGGGTGGGGCCAGGTAGGAGGCATGTGGTAAGGGGTAAGGTAGGGGTAAGTGGTAATATACGAGGGGTGGAGTAGGGTAGGGTGGGTCGGGGTGGGGTCGAGGTGGTAGGGGGGTGGCGGTAGGGTAGGGTGGATCGGGGTGGGGCCGAGGTCGGGGCATGTGGTGGGGGGTGGGGTAAGGTCATTATAGGGAAAAATGGCTACGCGGGGTGGGGGTTGGGTGGGTAGGGTAGGGGTAAGGGGTAAGGTACGAGGATGGAGGTACCGGAATGGAATCGACATTGGAGCGGGACCGGACCCACCACTAGGTGTAAGTATGCAAATTCATTGCAAAGACAGTGTAGCATCTGCGTTGTCCAAATTTGGAAAACTAGTAAAAGTTACTTCTCCAAATCATTAAGGAAAAGAGAGACATGTTTCATTTTTTCCGTTTTGGAAAACGATTTGGTAAACGCGTTTTTCTTTTTTCCTTTCTCCAGTTTTCTAGGAATTTATTTGGAAACACGTTTCCTGTTTTCTGTTTTCCAGTTTTCCAGTTTTCTGGAAAACTGGAAAATATTTCTGTTAGTAAACATGCCCTAAGTGTCCTCAATCTTTCAATGGATTTCAATTATTAGTTGTTCTAATGAATTTTAAAGGATTCTAGTGGATTTTTATGCATAAAGCATTCTATCCAAAACATTTTCAACCCCTCGGATTTCAAAATTTATCTCAATTGTTACCCACGCATAACAGCTCTCATGTGGAGAAGCAAAACAAATGGAGGACTCTCCAGAGCTTACCTGCAAAATAATATGGAGAAGGAAAAGAGAGTGGTCCACTATATAGCAAACAACCTCTCTCTATGTATTGCTCACATCACTGCTTCACTTAACGCCGTGGCCCTGAAATCGTTTTGAAGTCAACCCCGACTCTCACTTTCCACTCAAGAACCTCCCATTCGGTGATTTTTCGAGCCTGGACCCACTTCTGACGCTCGGCCTGATGTGGCTATAGGAGACTATGTTTTGGAATTATCACCGCCGCCACAGGTCTTTTTTATGGTCTGTGTTTGAAGTTTTCGGACTGCTGAGAATCAGAGGAGATTTCAAATTCCATTAGAATCTCATGGATTCTATACAATTCCATAAAAATCCATCAAATATAATTCTTAATCCTTGGAAATCTTATGAAATTCTAATTGAGAGACTTCCTTTACCTCTAGGAAGCTTTGCTTCACATTTTTTATATGAACATATTTAAAATTCAACTCAACAATTGGATGGCCAAAAACTACTCCGTGTGAAATTAAACTAAATACTCCGTATTAGGTTACTCGTTCTACACTAATCACCTAAGAAAGAATATTTTAGAGACAGATAACCAAGTTAGGTAAATGACAAGCTACGGAGAACTACTCTGTATATAATACGGAGTACTTCGTATTTACTTAGTGAATTAGTTGGAGATCACTAAAAAAATATTAGAACTTAGGGCCTGTTTGGTAACGGCTGCAACGGCTGAAATGGTTGAATCTGCTTAAATGGCTGAATCTGCTGAAGTGAAAGTGTTTGATAATATATTGACTGAAATGACTGATTGAATGTAAAATTACCATAAGGGTATTATTATTGTGTTAAATAAATGAGTTGTACTTTGCTATGTTTTTTGTTTGATTAGAGCTCTTAAAAATAGAGGAATGATCATGTACATATGGATGTACGGGAGGCTCCGTACGGACAAAGCCATCAGAGGCCCTTCTCGGTGGAATTTTTTGATGAAATTTTTTGAGCATGTTCTTCATCAACTCTAGTTTATCCATACCAAATTTCAGCTCAAAATTCGACCGGGAAGGCAGTCAAATAAATTCTTGAAATGTATGAAGCATTCTGCGCACATATAATGTGCAGTATATTTCAAGAATTTGTTTGATTG